CTGCCCAGGCCTGGTGCTCGGGCAGCGTGAGTAGAAGATGATACAACATCATAGGGGCAAGGGGGACACAGTCCTCCACCAGGGAGGCCTCTCCAGGGGAAGTGGAGGCCGGGGCAGGAGTCTGCAGAAGTAGTAGTCGTTCAATAAATACATGCTGATTTATTATAGTACTAAGGTCGTTTCTTTGGGGATAAATTGAGGTGTAAACATTTTCTTTTACCCAACTGTGACGCCCCTCCCGTCTCAGGCAGCACTGCAAGACCTAGGCCAAGCTAAAATAATCCTCTATTAAAAACAAAAAAAAAGTTACTCCCTAGGAATTCTGGGATAGGGGGTGGAATTTTTTTAAATCCACACGATGGTTCCTGATTGGTCTTGGATACAAAGGCTTGGGAAGGGTCTCCACCTGTTTGATGGGGAAGCAGGATTTTTCGAGTAGTGTTGGGGGAAAGGACCGAATGGGCCCTGGCAGACTGGCCCCTTAGCCCACAGAGGCCAAGATGACGTCTACTGGCAGCTCCTCTGTACTTCTGGCTGTCACCTGCATTGTCACTGTGTCCAAAAGCAGCAGTCGGGAGCGCACGAGGATGTCGTGACCACCACGGAACACGCCTGGAGGGGAAGAGGGGGAGAGGCAGGTGAGGGAGGGGGCGGGCAGAGGGTGGCCTTGGCAGAGGCTGGTCAAGGTGGCTCTGCAGGAGAGCTGGGCTGAGATCCCTGAGCGGAGGCGTGTCCACTCTGAGCTCAGAACTACAAAGCACAGGGAATGATACCAACCGCGTTTCCAGATTTCTCCAGGCCCCGATGGATGAATCGTGGACATGGGACATTTGTACCTCATGTCACAGAGGCTACATCTGACAGCACAGATGGAGGGGACAGCCCCAGCAAGAGAAAACCGCAGAGCAGGTGTCTACAAGACCCAGGGGACCGAGCTACTTCAGTGTGGCCACAAATGATGGGTTTGGGGGCTGTCAGCTGTGCGCGGGCAGCGAAGCAAAGCATCCTCCTTCCGCTGTTTATAAACACTCAGCTAAAAAAAAATCCCATTTCCTTTCCTTTTAAAAAAATTTTTTTCTTTTTTTTTGGTACCAGGGATTGAACTCAGGGGCACTTGACCCCTGAAGCCCCATCCCTAGCCCTATTTTGTATTTTATTCAGAAACAGGGTCTCACTGAGTAGCGCCTCGCCCTTGTGGAGGCTGGGTTTAAAGTCGTGATCCTCCTGCCTCAGCCTCTCAAGCCACTGGGGTTACAGGTGTGTGCCACCGTGCCCGGCCCCCATCTCCTTTTCTTAATTGTTTTAGGTATGATAACTGCATTGGCCTTTTGGCATTGAACACAGGATCATACCGGGTGCAGGTGGTGTATATCCATCATCCCAGCCTCTACCTTGCGATCCTCCTGCCTCAGCCTCCCGAGCTGCTGGGATGACAGGCATACACCACCGTGCCTGGCTGGGGGTCGACACCTCATTACACACCTTTTTACACTTGAGGAATTTTTAATGCAGTAAAAAAAAATTTTTTTTTTAGTTGTGGATGGTCTCAATGTCTTTGTTTTTATGAGGTGCTGAGATGGAACCCAGTGCTTCCCTCTTGCAAGGCACGTGCTCTACCACTGAGCCTCGATCCAGCCCCACATGCAGCAGACTGCTGACTCCCCATGTTCACGGGGCGTCTGCAGCCGAGGGTCGGGGTACCCCACCAAGACACAGCTCACCTGCCAGGAGCAGCGCGTGGGTATTCTTGTTCTCCGGGACCCTGTCAGACCTCTCGCAGGGATGCATCCCTAAGAACTTCACGATGTTGCCCACAGCCTCTGGAGGAGAGACCAGGGCATAAAGTCAGGAATCTTTTGTGTGGTTTTGTATGTGTGAGGTTCTGGGGGTCAAATCCAGGGCCTTGCACATGCTAAGGACGCCTTCTACTGGGCCATGTCCCCAGTCCCAAGTCATGTATCTTGTGTCTCTCTCTTTTTTGGATTCCAGGGATGAAACTAAAGGTGCTTCACCCCTGAGCCCCGTCCCCAGCCCTTTTTTCTATTTTATTTAGAGACAGGGTCTCGCTGAGTGGCTTAGGGCCTTGCTAAGTTGCTGAGGCTGGCCTCCAACTTGCGATCCTCCTGCCTCAGCCTCCCGAGTCGTTGGGATTATAGGTATGCTTTTCTTTTTGGCTCTGACACCCTGCTGAGTGGCTTTTAATGAAGGGGCGTTAAAGGTATGAGCTCTAGACATGGTCCTGGATCTTTGGAAGCAAAAGGGATGAACTCTGAAATAACACCCGAGGGTCCTGGAGGGCAGGTACGTCAGGGACGGCATCCTCAGGATTTTACCTTCCAGAGTCTTGATGGTGGACAAGGTGAACGTCTCCTCTTTCTCAAACTCATCCCCTACCTCGTCCCAGGCGGCTTCGAAGTTTACTTTCATGACCTTCTGGATGTGATCGGCGACGGTGACCTCCAGGTCTTCCAGCTGCAGAGGGACAGGTAGAAGTGAGTCGCCCATCCCTGTGGGACAGACACCCGCCCTGTGTCCGTCAGGGCCGCTGCTCTGAACCCTCTCCCAGGTTCCCTGCACCCTGCTCGGCAGGTGCGCCCACCAGGCACCAAGGACACCAAGGGCTCCCGAGACACAGAGCACCTACTGGGTGCCCACAGCCACGAGAACACGCTGACCCCAGGGACCAGCCCACGACACGGGACTCGTCCTAGACTGCTCTCTGTGGGACACGATCTTCGTGTCTCACTGAGTTGCTCACTAAATTGCTGAGGCTGGCCTCCACCTTGTGATCCTCCTGCCTCAGCCTCCTCAGCTGCTGGGAGGACAGGCGTGGGCCACTGCGCCTGGCCAGACCATTCTTTTAATCTACCGAAGCTCAGGGGCAGAACACTTGCCCGGCAGGTGTGAGGCCTTGGGTTCAAATCCCTAGCACCATGAAAAAAAGCCAAAAAAGAGGACTGGGGCGGTGGCTCAGTGGTAGAGCACTTGCCTGGCCTGTGCGAGGCACTGGGTTCGAGTCCCAGCACCACATTAAAAAAAAAAAACGAAATAAACAAAATAAAGGTATTGTGACCATCTCCAACTAAAAAATCAAAGAAAAAAGAAAAACAAAAAAAAAATCCATAAAAGCCAAATCCGCAGGGAGAAGATGGGTCGGACGGTGGCCTCCTCCTTACCACGTACTCGTCCTCGTAGCCTTCTTCATCCGTCTCCCCGGTGGTGGGGTCGCAGTCCTTGACAGTGAACTTCATCATGCAGCTGAACGTGCAGGCCACTGTGGGGAAGCAAGGCTGGGTGGCCAGGATGTCCCCAGGCCACGTGGGGTCAAGGTCCTCCTTAGACAGGGCCGCAGCCTGTCCTCTAGGCTTCTGCTATGTTATCAGTCATGGTGACATGTCACCCACCCCAGCTGGCTGTACTGAATGAAGGTGCCACCTCGTAGGACAGCAGTCACATCATGTGTCCAAGGCGGAGACAGTGCAGACTGGCTGCGTCCACGTCACGGCCCCCGGCCACTGTCCAAGGTGTAGACAAGGGCCGGGTGGCTCCAGAGGATGGAGGGGACTGGGCAGAACTGAGTGTCCGGGGCCACTGGACCTGCCACAGCTCCCTCAGCTACGAGAGGAAAGCAGCGCTCATGTCCCCAGAGGGACAGCGGGGCAAGGACTCCAGCTACGTCCCCGTCACCACCACGACAAATGACCCACACAAACATGTGACACACACATTATATAGACATATTCACAAAAATA